GAGCTGGAAGGAATAATCCTAAGTCAAATAAGGAGAAAGATAAATATTGAATGATGTCATTGATATGTGGAATATAAAGTAACTAAACTAAGAGTCATATAGAGACAAGCTTTAAAACTAACCCTAGAAGGCTGACTATAGACCTGAAGCACCAAGGAGGGGGTGGAGCTAAGGGAGGGTAAGAATAAAGAGGGAAAAGAAGCACAATGGACTGTGATGGTAAACTGTGGGTGATCTGGTGGTGGGTACTCTACAGTGATAATGCCTAATGGGGGTGTCCTAATATTACTCCATTAAAAATAAATAATAAAATAAAATAAAAGTACAGTTGGGTTTTTTTTAAAGATTTATTTATTTATTTATACAAGCACTGGGTACAGTCAGAAGCGCGGGAGGGGTAGAGAATTCACCAGAGCCAGAGCGGGGAGCAGAGCAGGCAGAAGGACCGAAGCACACTGCTGAGGGGAGCAGCGGGTGGCAGGAGAGGCCTGTGTGCCATGTGGGACCCACCTCCCGTGGCCGGGAAGCAGCCGGGGATCGAACCGGCGCTGCAGAGGCTGCGGGCAGCTTTGCAACCCAGCGCTCAACCGCTGCGCCACTGGGGAGGCCCTAAAAGTACAGTTTTAAGGCACCACATGTGGAAGAGAGTGGTGTAGACTAGATAGATACCTGTAAGCATAAGTGCTAAGGAACCCTAGGTAAATTGAAAGGTTTTCACGGGACTGGATTCATCGAGAACTGTTTTATGGAGGAAGCACATTTTGAATATGGACTTGAAAATAGTTTAATGTTTCAATTCCTGGAGAGCAGAAAGTATCCCTGGGAAGCGTATCAGCATGAAGTCTTGGGTGGAAGTAGGACCGGAACTTCTAGGATTTGGAAGAAAATAGAAGAGACCCCAGACTGGGAATTCAGGGAAAGAAGGAGCGAGGAAACAAGGTCCACAGAGAAGCACAGAATGGCCAGAGAGCTGGGAACCCCCAGATGCTTTTGAATAAAGGAAAATTCTGTACAATTAGTATTGTAGGAAAGGTAGAATCCTGTGGGCCAGACCAGCGACGTGTTCCGTGATCAGGTGTGCGGAGGGCGGGCACTTACTTGAAAGAGGGAAAGAAATAGAAATGAATAAATTGGATGCACACTCTTGCCAAGGGCTTTGAGGTCCACAGAGTCTTTCTTGCAGTGGCCAAGGGGTGAGAAGGCACCAGGCTACAGCTGCCCACTCCTGCCCCCCACCTGCCCTGCCATGGGAATCATGAAAGAACAGACAGACACCCAGACAGCCTGCAGCCCGGAGTTCACCAAGGGAAGCCTCACCTTTCCTAAGATGCCCAAGATGGGAATGTAGAAAAAATTGCAGATGTGTTTTAAAATTGCACATTCAACAGTTCCTCATTGAGTCTCGGAGTAAGAATTAGCCGCTGGCAACTCCCTCCGAGACTCTTGGTTACTTCTGGGTCGTTTTCTAGGTGTGAGAGTGCCTGTCTGGGGACGGAGGGCAGGTGTGGGATTTGACACCATTTCATAGACTGCTTAGCTGTGGGGGAGGCCAGTCCTGAGCACCCAGTGGTGGGTTTTGTGAACAGCGAATGACCTTTTCAAGCCCTTGTCGGCTCTCTGGGTTGGAGTTTCATCAGGTACTGCTCTGAGGTGTGTGCGGGAAGGCGTGGAGATGCCCCTGTAAGGACAGAGCTGCTGGGTCAGCCTAGGGGATGGCTGTGTGAGGCCCCCGAGGGAGTGAAAGTGGGGGACTAAGTCCAAAAAATAGGAAGAGGACCTGGACATCCTGTTTTCATATGTGCACCCCTTTATTTGCAACAAGGCAGGACGATGCAGTCTCAGGAAAGCTCATGACTGCCCCCGAGGGGTCCGTCCACACCACGGCCGAGAGAGGTGGGCTGGGCATGGGCTGGGCATGGACTGGGCAGGTATTTCAGTGCGTGGCTGTTCTCAGGCACCCTGAATAATGCAAACCCTTATCCCTCTTGATTCTTGTCCCCACTTGATTTTTCTTCATACTCTTCACTGGACCTGACACATTATGCATTACTTGTTCACTGCCGTGCCTCTAGCACATTCCAGGCCCCCAGTACATATTTCATTGATGAATTTACTGAATGAGTGAATAACTGAATGAAGAAGTAGGGCAGTGGGCATGTCTGACCAGCTCATTCAAGCCTTCTGGAAGGGTCCTGTTGGGGGAATTTAGCAAATTCCTCTTCCCCCCTCCTGGACTCCCAGTCACTACTGAAGAAGAGAGACCCAGGCTTCCTCCTTACTTCACTGTGTTTGAAATGACACACACTTCTCTTAGGAAGGGGAACTCTAGTCACCTGAGGAAATCTGTAACTATGACAAAGGCAGCAGACAGAATTCTCTCTCCCTGCCTTTTGGGTGTTTATTGCATCTTTCTACACAACCCCTGGGGTCTAGTCCTGCTGTAAAACTCACTCGTGACCCACAGATAGGACTTGCTAGGTGTTCGTGTGTCCTGTGCATGAAGATCAAGCCATGAGTCCCCACAAGGCTTCCTTCTGCCCCCAATGGGGTGAGGCTCCCCTCCCTGTGTGCCCCAAGCAGTCCCTACAGCTCCCCTTTCATCTCCAGCCCTGCGGAGGGAAGCTGGGACAACAGACAGAGGGCAGCCCTGCTTCAGTCCTCTGACCTCTGCCTGCCAGGAGTTAGCATCCCCAAGGGGTGGGGGGTGCATTCAGTTTCAGGTGCCCCACATCTGGAAGGCCTGGAGAGAAGCCACCACAGACCAAAGCCTTTTTTTTTTTTTTTTTTAAATAAATTTCTTAATGAGCTGAAAGTTTGATGAAAGGTCAGGGCAGTGGGAATGAGTCCAGTGTGTGGTCTCGGGGTCTGTTCAGGCGGGGAGGGGAGGGGAGCAGCTGGTGAGAAGTTAGGCCTTAGTGGGCCTGTCAGCCTGTCACTGGGGAGTCAAAGCCACAGTGACCCTTAGCAGGCCCCAGTGCCTGTCCTTGGCTTAGCAATAGTGGCCCTGGGGTGGCCTCAGTTGAACCTAGGACTTGCAGGGCCAGAAAGATTTCACAGGAGCCTGATGTTTGGTGTGACTCAAGTGAGAGCCGCTGGTGAGAGGGGGTAGCCGAGGGGATCAGTGTCGCCGGTTGGGAGAAGGAACCAGCTATCTGGCAGTGGAAATGTGCGAGGATGTATGTCTGGAGGTCTGGGTGGGAGCAGGGAGCTTGCTGGAGGTAGGGTGGTGGTGGGGCCGGCAGGCGGGTGGCTGGGGGGCCAGTGGGGGAGGGACAGGGACCATGGGGAAGAGGGGCAGCTCTGAGTCTTCAGCCCCCATGAAGGACGGGTAGGTGGAGTTGAGGATGTTTGGACAAGGAAACTCTTTGAAGCTTTTCTCTCGTCCTCCCCACTCTGGACCTGGTCCCCTCCCCTCCATAAAGCCATTAGCTCCTGGTGCCAGCCCTATCTCTGCTCCATCTCTCTCGGTTCCAGTCGGTGCATTCACAGACCTCCTGCCCTAGGGGATGGGGAGGATTTATGGGGGATAGAGGGGGAGGAGGCATCCTTTGGAGGAGGAGAGTCTGTAGGAAAGCAGGGTGTGGGGAGCTGTTAGTTGGCTGGGGCAAGAGGCCGGATCATTTCCGAGCTGGCTCTGCATGACAAAGGGAAAGAAGCAAGTTTCTTGCTTTGATCTGCCCCCTGCCGGCCCCACACACCTGCCTGTTGGTGCCCCCCGCCCAGCTGAGACCTCTAGAAGAAAAACCAAAAGGGGGTGGGGAACAAGCTGTGGACCAGCGTCCCAGGTTCCAGCTCAGGCCACCTTCCTCTCTTGGTGGCCCCAGGACCAAAATATCTCCTAGGCTGATGACCCAAAGCACCTGCCGCCCCCTCCCGGAGAGCCTGGAGCCCCAGATCTGTGGGAGCAGCGCGGTGAGCCGGGGAGGGGGCAGCCCGGAGCCGGCGTGCGAGTGTGTGTTTGTGTGTGCGCGTTGGAGGTGTTAAGGGGTCCTGTGAAGATTCTTTGGAGATGTGGGATCACGCCCTGGCTGGAAGCTGAGGGAGAAGTGAGGTGGGGCGCGTGGGAGGGGGCGTGTTTTATAGACTCTGGAGGCTCCAGAAGCACAGATTTTCTGTGATTTCCAAGTCCCAAGAAGGGTGTTCTTTGGGGATGTGCACGTACGCGTCAGTTAGAAAAGCGGGTAGGAAGCTCTCAGGCTGCAGGGGAGGGGCGCTGCTTCTGGAAGATGCACCCCCAGCACACTGGGCATTTGCTGCAAGGAATGCAGCCCCCAGGCGCTGCTGGTGCCCCGGGCATCTTTGCTGGGAAAGTGCTCCTGGAAGCCCCTCCAGGGCCACTGAGCTGAGTGAGGGGAGGGGGCCACTGGGAGGCACCGCCTTGCCCCCCAGAGCTTCAGAGCTGGGCAGTTTCTTTCTGGCGCTTTCTCAGAGAAGTTGCCTTGAGAAAGTGAAAAGCCCCTGCTTTCCCGCTCTAATTCTTTTCCCTGCTGTAATTCCTGGTTAAGAAGGATAAACAGGACTAGGGGTTGGGAAAACGTGTTTAGGGCGCAAAGGGCACAGGCACCCATTCAGAGGGACTCTCATACTCGGTTTTGGGCCAATCCAACTCACCGATTGCCTTCTAGCCCCACAAGGGAGAGCCTGACGGTCAGAGAGCTACCTCTCTGTCTGGGGAAAGAGTTAAGGGAGGAATGGATTAGGTTGGATGTTCTGGAAGAAGGGCCGGTGTGCTTGCAACAACCAAAGCATCTTCCTGGATGCTGCATCCAGCACACCCTGAGTTTGGTTCTCACTGATTCGGGTCAGAGACATAAAAGCCGTCCTATGGGGAGCAGTCCTAGGAGGTGGAGATTGGAAAGAGGCTGAATCTCTTTGAGGGGAACTTGACTTAGGTCTACCCCAGGGCTCATCCTTGTGCTTCCCCCACCCCGCCTAGCTGGTCCTCCCTTATCTTGCTTATCTGTTGCATCTCCACGTTGATTCTCCCTTCTCTCCTCCAGGGAGTCCTGTTTTGGAAGCCGCCAGTCCCAGGGGTCTCCCCAGGGCACTGGGGAGGGCCACGGTCCACCATGCCCAGCCTGCTGCTGTTCACTGCTGCGCTCCTTTCCAGCTGGGCCCAGCTGCCGGCCGAAGCCAGCTCCTGGTGGTGAGTGAGAGGGCTGAGCCCACCTAAGCCTGCGCCTCCGGTGGTGACGGAAGTGTGGAGAGGTCACCGCGTGTCTTCACCATCCCTTTACTCACAGGAATCCTGCGGGCTTTTTATCCCAAGAAAACTAGGTCAGCTCCTTTTCTCTCTCAAGCGCCTGGAGGTGAAGATTCCCAAGAATAAAGGAGCAGTTCATCTGGCTTTTTCTCACATCCTGTCCATGTCCTTTTCCCTGGGACCTTCCTCCATCCCCATGGGTTGTTAGAAGTAACTCTTTTGTTGCTACTGGATCAATAAGAATATTGATATATTTTTTTTTGGCTGGTGGAGGCAAGGACAGTAGAGTTGCTATTTAAGTCTGCAGGCCAGATGAGGGGCATGTGTGTCCACGTGTGGCTTTCTTTTTGAGTTCCTAAGACCATTGTCATTGCCAAGTCAACATGGGAGTGGCAGACCCTTGCCACCTCTTTGGCCTGGGCTGTGCTCACATTTTTTGCTCAGGCGGGAAATCCATGGCCTTCTCACCTAATTTAACATTTTATTATGTTTGGTACCTGATGAGCAAAAGGTCTGCTCTGAACTGAGTGCAGATGACTGGTCCGGGGGTGAGCTATGGAAATGAAAGCATAGAATGTATTGCCATGCATGTAAAGTGGAGTCTATTTAAAGACATCAGGGCAGTTCTATTTAAAGGAATGTCTTGCTTCCCATCGCATATCCTGCGCTTGGGCTACCATGCACTAATCATTCCTACTCCTTGAACAAGTCATGCGCTTTCCTGTTGAGGGTTGGCTCGCCTGCCCCTGCCTCAAATGAAGAGCCTGCACCTCTCTGCCGCCCGGCTCTCTCCCTGTCTGATCACCATGTACCAAGAAACTCAATCTGACCTAAGCATATAATATCTCACGTTATCTGTGTTCCTGCCTCAGTTTCCCCACAATGCGTCATCTGGAGGCAGGTACCCTGTTTTTTCTAATTTTCCTTTTTGAGAGCTTAGTCCAGCCCCTTGTACACAGAAAGCACTCAGCAAATGTGGCGAATGAATGATTTACTGCTGCACACAGGCCCACCATGCTCACGCCTTGGTCTTTCCCCCTTTCTGCATCTCTGCTGTAGGTCGTTAGCTATGAACCCGGTGCAGAGACCTGAGATGTTTATCATCGGTGCCCAGCCTGTGTGCAGTCAGCTCCCCGGGCTCTCCCCCGGTCAGAGAAAGCTGTGCCAGCTGTACCAGGAGCACATGGCCTACATAGGGGAGGGAGCCAAGACGGGCATCAAGGAGTGTCAGTACCAGTTCCGGCAGAGAAGGTGGAACTGCAGCACTGTGGACAACACGTCTGTCTTTGGGAGAGTCATGCAGATAGGTAAGTGGTCACCGAGGCGCGGCTTGGCTAAAGGCACCCGAGTTACTGACCCTCTCGGCACTGGCACGAGAGAGCCTGCATGCGGGTCTAAAGCGGGTTGTCTGGAGGTTTGGAAGCAGGTGCAAGGAGAGAAAGAAGCGCTCTGAGGAAGCAGAGCCTCAGATCACACCTCCGAGGGCTCAGTGAGCCTTCTGTGTCCACTTCACCCAGGTGGGCAGCCTGTCTGGGACTCCCTCTGGGAGGGCTCAGAATGTCCGAGGTGAGTTAGGGCTGACCAAGAAGCCCTCCATGGCCTCGGGATTTAAGTCCCAGCGCAAGGGCCCCTTTGAGAGTCACGGATGGAGAACCCAAAACTTGCCACCTGAGTGTCTGTAGCAGTTTTGCCTCTTCCACTTGGACGCTGAGAGAGATGGGGACCTTGGGCCAAATTGGTGATAGCTGTCATTAACCCGACCCAGATCCAGTCCTGGCCTTTTCATTTGAAAGGGGAATTGTGTGAAAGTGGGGGAAGGGGACAGACCCAGAAGAAAGATGAGAGGGCTACCTCTTCCTGGATCCCCTCTTCCACTCCTGGTCTAGGATTCTTTGGCTACCCTGTTGCTTAGATGGAGGTGTGATCTGGGGTCTAATTGTTTTAGGTCCTTTTGAAATGCAATCCTCCCCTCCCTGGCAAGAAATTGAGAAATCCGGCCCTATTCTACTGGCTCTTATCCCCAGGGCCATAAAAGGAAGGTGTCAGAGCACTGTGTTCTCCTGGCTCACATTCTCCCAGAAAGGCTTCCCCTCAAAAGGCAGCATTCTGGAGTTACCTGAGGCTGGAGTTTTCCCAAAGACTGGTATTAGCAGGCAAGAGAGTTGGGGGGTTCGGGGCCTGGGTTACCATGAAAAGCCTGTCCCTTTCCTGGCCCACATGGCCATTTCGTTCCAGACCTACCCCCCCATGACCCCCCCCCCATCAGAGACAGCAGGACCAGGGGGAAGTGCAGACCTTGCTGCTGTCTTGCTTCCTTCCACGCGGGGACCATAAAAGGGCTGCTTGGTCACTCCAGTGACAGTCCCGCTGGGCAGCGTTCCCAAAAGTATGGACATGGGGGTTAAGTGGGAGTTGTTCATGCTTTGTTCATTTTGTTTGTTCTATTCAAATGCCCTTAGTACTTGTCCTTCTTCCGGGTAGCAGTTTCGGTCGACGACACTCTCTGCCCTGGGGTTTGGATGAGAAAACTAGGATGGCCAGGCAGAGAAGCAGCCCCTCATCACACTAAGGAAATGAGTAGTTCTTTGGACCCTCATGTCTGCCTGACACTGGATAGAGCCTTTTCACGGGTTATTTTGCTTGAGTGAAGGCCAAAAAGGGAGGGCTGCTTTAAGGAAAAAAGGGGTTGCCAGGAACAGAAGCCCCCCCAGGTATAGTCTTTCTGTACCCTGATCTGTTACACATGGAACCTTTCTGTTTGCTTCATTTCCACATCCTTTTTGTAGCTTCCCTGCTTGCTTATATTACCTGGGGCGCTGTCCTCCGCTCCTGCCCCATCCACACTAGCTCTCGCTGTCATCTTCCAAGATTCCTTTCTTCTTGCAACTGCTGCAGAAGTGCCCGCCAGAGGGCAGCAGAGCAGCTTGGAGGGAGCCCCTGGCATTTCTCCCAGGCTCCGCCCTGAGGAGCCTGGGGACACCTCCCTGGTAGTTGGGCTACTGTGGAGAGCGAAGGCTTGATGTGGTCCTGCCACCTCCTTGCAGGAAATGATGCCCGGTCTCTCTGGTAGTGCCACGGCTGCTGGTTTATTTGCCTTTATCCTTGACATGGTTCGAATTTCTACTCTGACTTGTTTTACTTACACACAAGCCCTCTGCATTTCCTGTCCCGAGTTATCTCTCTCTTGCTTGAGAGTGGCATTAGTGGCCTATACTAGCAGGCTTACCAGAGCCCCCCAAATGCTCTTGTGAAGGCAGAGATACCTACATTTAGTGCCCAGTGATGCCCCCCTCCAGAGGCAGGCAGACTGCAAGACTCAGCTCTTTCACTGGAAGACTGATCCTGAGCCACCGTGATAGGCACATGCCGCCTGCTGCAGGTGCTCAACTGCAGATTCATTATTTTAAAAGGCAGTTCTGAGAGTGGTGATTCAGTTCCAAAAAGCATGCTTGCTAAAGATGCAAGAAGAAATCAGACATATGTAACTTGGAAAAGAGAAAACATAAAAGGCATGTTAGCTGTTTTCAAATACTGAAGGGCTGTCAAATGGAGAAGGGATTAGACAGCGTAGCTCCAGCAGGCGGGAGCTATAGGGAGGCATATTTCAGCTTAATCTAAGCTGAATTGTGTGATTAGTGTCATCGGAGAAGATAGAGTGGGTTGCCTTGAAAGCCTAGCCCTCTGCTCCAAGGAATGTTGTGGAAGGGACCCTCCCAGCGCTGGCATGTGTGTTCCGGCTGCAGCTTCAGAGGCGCTCCCTGTGCCCGATGCCAGGTCGGGGCTTGAGGCGCCATAGTTCTCAGCCAGGAGTCTCTCAAAGTGGGTCCTGGCCCCCTCCTAAGAGCCTCTTGGCCATCTTACCCTGGCAGCTCACGCTCCCCTAGACCAGATATCTCCCTGGCTCTGGTGGTAGTTCAGCACTGAGCAGGCCATTCCTGGTTGTGGCTCCCTGATCATCTGGGTTTCTCCTGGGCCGCTCCTAATCTCCATTAGCAGCCAATCCCTGGTTAACTGAGAAAAACTGACTTGCCCTGCATGGTCTGGTTGCAAACTTGACAGTGTTGTGCCTAGATAATGAAGAAGTAGGGTGAGGTGGGGGATCACCTAGATCTATTAGTGATTGCAAACTGCTCCTCCCTCCACCTGCCTAGACACAGTTGTCTGCTTCTGACCATGGAGACGCAGAGGAGGAAGTGGAGACTAGAAGATTGTCTGGTTTCGTTGCTGAGATCAGGAGTGCATTTTAGTGTCCTCCTAAAACTACTCCCTCCCCTCCATACCTGAGTCCATATGAGAATTATGTTATTTTTTTAACAACTTTGTTAAAATATAATTCACATAGCATACAAGTCACCATTCTATTTATTTATTTGTTTGTTTTACTTTTTTTTAAAGATTTATTTATTTATGCATATAAGAACTGTGGTGTAGGCAGAGGTGTGGGGTGGGGGTGAGAGAATTCACCAGATATAGAGTGGGGAGCAGAACAGGGAGATCTACTGAAACACACTGCTGAAGGGAGCAGTGGGCGAGACAGGAGAGGTCTGCCGCACCATGTGGGTAGCTCCCTGGCCAGATATTGAACTCGTGCTATAGTGGCTGCTGATAGCTTCATAGTGCTGAGGCTTAACCCTTTGCGCCACCAGGGAAGCCCCATTTCACCATTTTAAAGTGTGCATTTCAGTCTGTAGTCACAAGATTGTACAACCATCACCACTCTCTAATTCCAGAATATTTGCCTAACTCTATAAACTACAAATCCATTAGCAGCCACTCTCCATCCAGTCCCCTCCTACCCAAACACTAGGCAACCACTAATCTTTCTGTTTCTTTTTTTTTTTTTTTAATTTTTTATTTATTTTTTAATAGAGGCATGTTTTTTATTTATTTGCATGCACGGGGTACAGTCAGAAGCGCGGTGAGAGAATTCACCAGAGCCAGAGCGGGGAGCAGAGCAGGCAGAAGGACCGAAGTACACTGCTGAGGGGAGCAGCGGGCGGCAGGAGAGGTCTGCGCGCCATGTGGGACCCTCCTCTGGTGGCCGGGGAGCAGCCGGGGATCGAACTGGCGCCGCAGGCTGCGGGCAGCCTCTCAGCGCTCAACCGCTGCGCCACTGGGGAGGCCCTGTTTCTTTTTTTTTTTTTAAGATTTTTTTATTTATGCATATAAGAGCTGGGGTACAGGCCAGAGGTGTGGGAGGCGAGAGGATTCACCAGAGACAGAATGGAGAACAGAATAGGCAGATTGACTGAAATATACTGCTGAGGGGAGCAGCGGGCAAGTCAGGAGAGGTCTGCTGCGCCATGTGGGTAGCTCCCTGGCCAGCTGGGGATTGAACTTGTGCTGCAGAGGCTGCGGACAGCTTCATGGGTTGTGTCTTAACCCCTTGCGCCACCAGGGAGGCCCTAATCTTTCTGTTTGCACAAATTTTCATATTATCAACATTTCAGACAAATGAGATCATATACTATGTGACCTTTGTATATGGTTCCATATAGATACAAAATGGACTTAGCATCATAATTTCAAGATTCATCCATGTTGTAGGTTACAGCGGTGCCTTATTAACTTTTTATGACTGAGTAGTACTCTTGTATGGCCAGCCCAATTCTGCTTACCCATTCATCTGCTGCTGGACATGGTGGGTTGTTTCTACATTTTGGCTATTATGAACAGTGCTTCAGTGAACATTCCTGTAAAAGTTGGTGTGTGGACCTATGTTTTCATTTATTTTGGATATATTCTTAGGAGAGGGATTGTTGAGTTGTATGGTAATGCTAATGCTATGAAGATTATCCTTCTGAGGAGCTGCCAGACAGTTTTCCAAAGCAGCTGCAGCATTTAATATTCCCACTAGCGATACATACGGGTCCCAGTTTTTCCATTTTCTCACCAACTTATTAGTAGCCATCCTTGTATCTATGAAGTGTATCTCATTGTGATTTGATCAGTCCCTGGTGACTGATCTTTTTCTTTTCTTTCTTTTTATTTTTAAAGAACAAGTTACACTTCTGAGCAATTGATCTATTTAACCTTTATTTTATTATTTTTTTAAGATTTATTTATTTTTATACAAGAACTGGGGTATAGGCCAGAGGCGTGGGAGGGTGAGAGTATTCACCAGAGACAGAGTGGGGAACAGAACAGGCAGACTGACGAAATACACTGCTGAGGGGAGCAGCGGGCCAGACAGGAGAGGTCTGCCTCGCCATGTGGGTTTCTCCCTGGCTGGCTGGGAATCGTACCCGCTGCAGAGGCTGCAGATAGCTTCACAGCATGCGCTCAAGCCACTGTGCCACCGGGGTGGCCCGATCTTTTTCTTATAAACATATTTATTAAAGTAGAACATACACAAGAATTTATAAATGGTTCGCTACAGCCATAAAGAGGAACACAGCTCGGATTTTTCATTGGGAATGATCAGCTTATTCAGAGAGACCTTGTTGAAAGTCCCATGCATGTGGTCCCCAGTGTTCTCGAGTTAGGAGGCGGTGTGGACCCAGAGGAAGGCAGAGTAAGACAGCTTGGGTAATTTTGGACATGGTAAGTCTAGTTCACTTTCTACTCCAGGTCTCTGCCTGATGTCAGCCACTCCTGGTCTCTCTAGATAATGGCAACAATAAAAAAGATAGACGTGTGGCTCTTAGGTGGTGAGAAAGTGCATCTGTGAGGGAGAAATTTTGCTAGGCTAGAATCCCACTATTGGCTGATTTCTGACTCCGTCTCATTCTGTTAGTCCCACATGATCCATAACTTCTTTACTGCCCTGTCTCCCCTCCACTTAGATCTACCTCCTAGGAATCTACTGGTCATGTTAACTTCTCTGGAATGGATGAGAGTGTAAGCCAGGGCTGGAGGGATGCATTCTGTTCTGTGTGTTCATAGGGCAGAGGAGGCAAAATCTTAGCTATTCTCGAGAGAAGTTTCTTACCATCAGAGCCATGGGAAGTGACAGGTGCTCCCTTCTGATACTTTCCCATCCCCAACCCAGGAATATTACAGTCAGGGTGATGGTGTCTGAGGAGGCAGAGAGCAGACAAGGGCCTTCACGAGCGGGCTGGCCTTGCTACCACCTCCTTGCCTTCTCTTACAGGGAGCCGCGAGACGGCCTTCACGTACGCGGTAAGCGCAGCCGGGGTGGTGAATGCCATCAGCCGGGCCTGCCGCGAGGGTGAGCTCTCCACGTGTGGCTGCAGCCGGACAGCACGGCCCAAGGACCTTCCCCGGGACTGGCTGTGGGGTGGCTGCGGGGACAACGTGGAGTACGGCTACCGCTTTGCTAAGGAGTTCGTGGACGCTCGGGAGCGGGAGAAGAACTTTGCCAAGGGATCAGAGGAACAGGGCCGAGTGCTCATGAATCTGCAGAACAACGAGGCAGGTCGAAGGGTAAGCTGCATCTCACCTTGCAACACCCCCCCCACACACACACACACTCCTTGGCCCAACTGGGCTGTTCCCACTCTGAGCTACGGGAGCCACGGGGGACTCGTGGCCTGGCCATCAAGAAAGAGGATTGGCATGACCATCCAGATTATTTTATTTTTAAATTGTTTCATCCTTTTTTATGAACTTGGCTTCTATGAACAGTGCATTTCATAAAGAAGGAAGAAAGTAGGTAGGAGTCAATCTTTTTTCTTTTTTTAAAGATTTATTTATTTATGCATACAAGAGCTGGGGTACAGGCCAGAGGTGTATGGGGGGGTGGTGGTGAGAGGATTCACCAGAGACAGAGTAGGGAACAAAACAGGTGGATCCACTGAAATACACTGCTGAGGGGAGCAGCGGTTGAGACAGGAGAGGTCTGCTGAGCCATGTGGGTAGCTCCCTGGCTGGGGATCGAACTTGTGCTGCAGTGGCTGCGCACAGCTTCGTAGGTTGTGTCTTAACTCCTTGTGCCACCAGGGAAGCCCCAGGAGTCAACCTTTTAAAATTGAGCCACGTTTGGATGAAATCCTTGTTTAGTTATTTATTTATTACTTTTCCCTGAAGGCAGTCTCTCGCTCTCTTTTTTATACTGAGATATAATTGACATTCAGTGTTATCTAAGTTTGCAGGAAAGATGTGTTGGTTTGTTAGACATATATGTTGGAATACGATCACTACAATAATGTTAACTAGCAGCTAGCACCTTTAATCAAGAGTCTTACCTACAACGGCTGACCCAGACGCCCACATTAATGAACAAATCCCTTTCAAAATCTCCATCTCCCAATGGACAGAGAACGTTGTCCTATTTTTCACCTTCTTTATTTCTCCACAGAACATTTGTCCCTATAGGACCAAGGTAGCCTTACAGTCAGAATCCCAGACATAAGCAGTGGTGCTCTTGTCTTGACTGCCTCTCCTTTGTAGTTGGACACATGAGCTGATTGGACACTCAAGCCATTAGACCTAGTCTAGAGATTAGAATTGTTCAAGGCTCAGGGAAAAGCAGAGCTGAGTGTTAAAAATTGCAATCAGACATTTTTGGAAACCCATGCCAAAAGCATACTTAGGTGATAATGGCAGACATGCTTCTCAGCTAGGAGTTGTTTTTTTTTTTTTAAAGATTTATTTATTTATACAATAACTGGGGTACAGGAGGGTGAGAGAATTCACCAGAGACAGAGTGGAGAGCAGAACAGGCAGATGGACCGAAGACACTGCTGAGGGGAGCAGCAAGCGAGGCAGGAGAGGTCTGCCGCACCATGTGGGTACTCCCTGGCCGGCCAGGAATCAAACCCGTGCTACAGAGGCTGCGGACAGCTTCACAGCATGGCGCTCAACCCGCTGCACCACCAGGGAGGCCCTCAGCTAGGAGTTTTGAACATAAATGGAAGTGTAAGATGGGACTGTCTTCTGAGCCTTGAACTCAGTAGACTGAAATGGAGGGTTGGAGGTGAGCTTGGTTCATGGAATGTGCCTGGGCAGCTGGGCAATGGCTCGAGGGCTCCTTTCTGGTGGCTGAACGAGGACTTTACCTGTGAGCTCATCTTCAGGCCTCCTCTCTCCTTGGCCCTGTGAAGGCCTGCTGATGCCTCAGGAAGCCAGGCTCAGTTGGAAGCTCTGCCTTTTCTGGTTCTGCTGGTTTGTGTATTGGGTGCGCCCAGGTTGCTCTGTAGAGAGGTCTGAAGTCTGAGCGCTGGGTGGTGGGACACTCTCCTGGCAAAAAGTCAGGGGACCATAGCAATCAGGAAGCATCACAAACTTCCTCTTGAAGAGTGTTGCCCCGGAGCCAGCTGACTCAGGGACCAGGCAAGGTATTGTTGCCTGAGACCAGAGATGAACCAATTAAAACAGGAGAACAACAGCTTCTTAGGAAATAAATTTAGAAATGTAATGTTGCTACAGAGTTGGAAATGTCTTTTGTGTCTGTGTAAAGGTAGCATCACCAATGTGCTATGTATGTTTGCGCTAACTTGTACGACACAAAATCCAATGGGAACTGGCTGTTTGCCCAGTACCTCCCTTATAGAGCCCATCCAGATGTGGGTGTGGAGGCGGTAGTTACTCTGCAGCGGTGCTAGTTCTGGTCATTGCTTTGATCTGTGGTTATTGAGGTAAAACCAGGGCAGAGATCAGAAATGTCATAGGTGACTTCCATGCTGAGGGCACCTGTGAGCTGCCTCAGTCCACTACAGCTTCTTGTCTGTTTGACAGCTCATTTGCCAGCCTTTGGGTACTGTGTGAGAGATTAATAAGGAAAAAAAGTTAAGATCTTTATGTCTTGAATGCCAAGTTCTATCCATTTTGCAAGACCTCAGGTCAAGGACCACCTACTCTTTCAAAGTGTTTCTGTTTCCCCGTGGTTAGTGTCTCTGCGCTGACCCTCTATAGAGCATTTTATGCTTTTCTTGAGCTATTGCTTACTCTACTTCACCTTTCTGGCTGTGGCTTCCTAAGGACAGGTATTGCCATCTGATGCCTTTGCAACTACTCTCTTTGCTCTGCTTTACAGGGTGGGCTCCTGTGGCAAGGTGGCGGGAAGTCGCCATATTACCTCCTACCAAGAGGTCAAATTCATGGAAAGCATTTCCTGTCCCGCTCTGAGCGCGGGTGGGTGGGTGGGGGGGACATTGTGGCAGATGCTGAGGTGACTAGGCCTTCATCCTAATATGGCCCCGTTTCAGTCACAGTCTTGACCCCACTTCTGCTGGCTCCTCATTTTATTGCCCTTAATTGTTTGTTTGTTTGCACTGGCCCTTATCTCCCAGCGTCTTCCCTTCCATCTGCCTTGTTTCTCTTACACACCTTCCCTGGCTTTCTCTATGTCTCTCCCCCTGTCTTGGGATTCCCCCCAACCCCCTTCCTCCGGTCTCCACACCTCATCCCTGGCTCTTTATCTCTCCCTTTGCCTCTGTCTGCTCCAGGTTGGGAATTCTTGTCCCTCTCTATTTTTTATGCCCTCTTCGAGGAACAGACCTCGCCTATCAATCACCATCTAAGCCAAAGGTATTCCCCTCCTACTTCCTCACACCTACAAGAAGTTCCTTAGGGGTAGGATTGAAAATTCTCTGGATGAGCATTTTGCAACTAGGTTATCTTTTATTTTTTTTTAAACAGAATTTTAAGGATCTGACATCTTGACCACCGAGTAAATCTTAGACATACTTTGCCAGAAATTTCTCTTGGCCTCTAAGAGTCTCTCATCAGTCCATTTTAGATATTGGTGGCAAGAGTGATGGGTTGATACCGCCTTGTCACTCAAGGGCGTCTGAGCATTTTCCAGATAAAAGCTGGCTAATCCTGTGACATTCCTGTCAGTTACCACACTCAGCCACACCATTAGAGAGAAGTGGGAGAGAGACTTAAAAAGGGCTTTGCCAGAGGGAAAAATGTTGCATTAACAACAAAAATTTTTTTAACACTTTCTTGTATTTTCAGTTAGCATGAAGGGCCAACAATTGGGATCTTGCACCTTTCTACAAGAAGGTTGCGCGAGCGCGCGCACGCGCACACACACACACACACACACACACACACAGGATAATATATTAATCTATGTTATCAACAGTAGAATGTTTAAAATGCAAATATTGCCCTCTCTACGATGTCTTTCTTCTTGGCGGAAGGATGGGATGTATGTCTAAATAGTGAGGGTGAGTGACAGACTTTCTCTGGGATTTGTTCCACCAAAATTCTCATCCTTGCTCTGTGGAGTCTTGACCCCTCCTCCCCAGAATCTCCCTAAGTGTTTGCTCCCAGTGGAGATGCTTATCCGGTTCCCTTAGTCACTTAACGGCAGGGTACACAGTATTAGACCCTAATGCTTCCTGCAGCAGCCGCCAGATGCCTGACATCCCTCTGTAAACCAAGCACCATTTCCAAAGGAATGTTAGGCTGCAGCTCAGACCCTGGGGATTTGTGCCAGAAGGATAATTGCAGGCCCTTCTTTGAAGTGCCTGTTGGAATGGGGTGTGGGTTCCTTTGTGCCTTGTGCCTGGAGCTGCAGCCAAGTACTAGTGCCTTTAACCTTGGGGAGGAGTCTTCCTTCCTTTTCCACCCTAAGCCATGTTTAAGCCTCTAAGCCCCAAGATCGGAGTGCAGAAGCCCGAGCAGTCTGGCTCCCTTCTGGGTGGCCCTGAACCCGTTATTGGGCCTCTCTAGAGCTTCCATTTCTCCACCATAAACTGGTGGGAATCATTCCATACCAGAAAAACACCAGAAAGAGTTTTGACAATAGTAATATGAGCTGATGATGGTTAAACTATTTTTTTGCACCTGCAGTGGTCTCTGTATAGTGCTGAATAAAGACACAATCTGGGGACTCTTGAAAAGAAATCAGAGAGAAAACCCTTGAAAAATGAGTCCTGAATCTGTTGGTGACAAAATGTCCTGCAGCAGGCTTGCATTTTTATTCTGCCATCTGCACTTCTGGGCCTGCTGCCAGGGTTATCTGACACAATGCATCAGTATGCTTTCATTGAAAAACACTTGGTAAGCAGCTTTCTGGTCTACTCTTGCTTTTAAATTTTGACTTGGGATAACCCAAGTTCAAATCTACTCCACATAATTGTAGTTCAGTGACTTCCAGGGTGATTTGTTTTCAAATGAATCACCCCCACAGGTGGGCACACTGACCTGAGCTGTCACTGTGCAGGGCCTCACCTCTCTCTCTCCACACTCACAACCGCCCCAGGGGGTGTCTGGGGAGCACTGGGGTGGCAGAGCATGCTCTTGTTCACAAACGTGATGTGGTTTATGGTTAGGGTTCTGCTGATTCCATGGAGTTAATGATCAGAGGTTAACACAGAAAACAATTTCATTCTTAGAGGATTTGGCAGGGTGGAGGAGAGCTTTGGGCTCACCAAGGTCATGCCAGAAGCTTCTGGTACTCTTATAACAGGACTGGAGTCTTTTTTCTCATTGGTGTTGCATATGGTATAAAAATTGGACACCTTTTGTTGGTCTTTATTTGATTGAAGCTTTGGTCGAGATAGAAATACCCTTTTGTATTGTAAAAATGGCATATTGTTTGTAACACATTTCAAGCCATAAGAAATGGAGCAAGTAGAAAACGCCCCAAATGTTACCCTTGCAGCTGATCAGATGTGCATCTCCTCCCCAGTGTTTTTCCACTTGATGCTCCTTTTATCCGCTTTTGAGCGATTCTGGAAAGAATTGTGTATACATTTGGAAAACAATACTCCTGCCCCCCGAGAGTCCTGTTCAGTCCTTGACCTCTGGCTTGCCCCAGCCTTCTGCTGGACATCTCTCAGGGAGGCTGCTTATTTCTTCTCTCTCCTCCCCTCAGGCTGTGTATAAGATGGCAGACGTAGCCTGCAAGTGCCACGGCGTCTCGGGGTCCTGCAGCCTCAAGACCTGCTGGCTCCAGCTGGCCGAGTTCCGCAAGGTGGGGGACCAGCTCAAGGAGAAGTATGACAGCGCGGCCGCCATGCGCATCACCCGCAAGGGCCGGCTGGAGCTGGTCAACAGCCGCTTCAACCAACCCACCCCAGAGGACCTGGTCTACGTGGACCCCAGCCCCGACTACTGCCTGCGTAATGACACCACCGGCTCGCTGGGCACGCAGGGCCGCCTGTGCAACAAGACCTCGGAGGGCATGGACGGCTGCGAGCTCATGTGCTGTGGCCGCGGCTATGACCAGTTCAAGAGCGTGCAGGTGGAGCGCTGCCACTGCAAGTTCCACTGGTGCTGCTTCGTCAAGTGCAGGAAGTGCACGGAGATCGTCGACCAGTATGTCTGCAAATAGCCGGCGGGGCCTCTGCGCTCCCCGCAAAGTTTATATTATATAAATCTATATAAATCTATTTTATATTTGTATAAATAAATGGATGGATGCTAACTAATTAAAAGAAGAAAATGGAAAGGAAAAGCTTATTTAAGAGACGCTGGAGATCTTTGAGGAGTGCACGCTGCTGCTTCTCCACTCCCAGAGGGCAGGAGAAGGGGCTTTTCCCCTCCCTCTGGCGGGGACTCTCAGGGCATAGGGAATATTCACTGTCTACCCACCGTGGCCTTGAGGAGCGAGGTAGTGGGCAGATGGAGAAGATGAAGTCTGGAGTCTTCGGGGTAATGACACCCTTGGGATCCCAGCGGACAGGCCAAGAGGCCCCGTGCAGGTGGCAGCTTAAATCTTGCTGCTTCAGGGTCTTGCCAGAATATTGATGGGTTCAGGGAGAGGCTGGAGGTTTTCTTATGCCTTTGCTCATGTACATGCTGCAGGGTCTGCAGTGACAGGCGAGACTCCTTCCTCTGAATGGGCAGCCCTCCCATGTCATCACTGACTGGTGACTGCATGGGAAACCTGCATGGGAAACCTACCCCTCCCCCAGGCTCTGGGGCCTGGATGATTCTTCCTCCACAGCTCACTAGCTCCTGCCACAAGCTCCCTGCACCAAGAGGAAGGGGTCTGGGACAGACATGAACTGAATATTTGTGCCCGAGCTGCAGAGAGCCAGGTGCAAAGCTGGACTGAGGACATTGCACTGTGCTCCCACACAGGGAGAGCCAACTTGTGATGCTGCTGCTGTCACTTCCTCCATCAAAGGAGGCCTCACGAATGACAGGAAGCGTAGCTAGGTCAGGCCCGGCTGGCCTGGCACCGTCTCTTCATCTCTGCCCCAGATGTACAGTTTCTTGCTGACATTAAATACCCTTCACTGAAGTTTCTCTCCCTTTTTCCTTATTTGGACACATGGTTATCTTTCTTGAGTCTCCTTTTGTTTTTGACCTGGTCCTTAAAACCTTGCTACCTGGCGTACCTCTGCAAGAGAGTCAGGAAACTGAGACCTTTTTAGAGCTCAAGTTTGGTCATTAGAGGGAGGGACAGGAGAATATTAGAGAATTAAATATGGTAATGCACGAAGCACTCTCCCCAAGGGCTAACCAAGAGAATACACGATGGGTGGTGGCTACTGATATTACTGTTATGAACAAAAGAATTTGAAATTTTAAGTTTAAGCTTCGCATTTATCTTCCTCTTCTTCCTTCACATTGCAAGTTAGCCTGCCCTGTTAGCCCTGGTTTGCTCACCAGTTCCTTGGTAAAGCCTGACCCTGCTGTAGGATTCTTAACGACGCATCTCTAGTTTTTGACCCCAGGATGTAGAGCCAAAAAAGAGGGGATGGCAGAACTCAGAAATCCAAGAAGGCAGAAATACTGATCTCAGCTGCACAGGAGAGACCAGCTTTGAACAGACTAGCTTACAGGTGAGCCAGCAAGCAGGAACAGACACCAGTTTAATGCTAGAAGAGTTTCTTTCAGAGGGAACAGTGGGATTAAGGAATGGGGTTATGAGCAAGTGATACTGCAAAATAATCCAAAAGATTCTACCTGAGAGTATCCATGGCCGTTTAGACTACTGTGCCTTTAACACCACAGGAAGAACCTTCTTATTTAACATCACAGACTATTACAGCCTTCAGGTTATTTTGCCAGAAACTATCCCTCACACTGTTGTTCAGATTCCATGGGCCACTCATGGTCCATGGGCATTAAAGTGAGCTGGCCTAGGAAAGATCAAAACCACGTTCATTAGTTGGTATTTAACCAAATAAGCTGATCAGTCACACAAATCAGCCACAATAACCAGTGTTTTGGACACTGGCTGGCATGATTGCCCTGCCCAACATCACTATTCTGGAGGCCAAGAGTTAACTTATATCAGATGTTCAAAGTGTTTAAGAGCTGGAATCCAATTTGAATTCATCCTTAGGGACCTCAGGAAATTTGTTAAGAGTAACTTGTCCACAATCCCCACAGAAATGCTGTAGAAATGTGCTAGAGAATATGGGGACCAGCCTAAGAAAAATGAGCTTTGGTTTAGAATCCCAATGCAGGAAGAGAAGTGGCGGTCAGAATGCCAGTTCTGGGTTTCCATATCAGGACCTGCAAAACTTGACTGGGCTCCAAACCTTAAAATGCAAAATCAAAGGCCCCCAACACCAGAAATTTGTAGGCAGTTGGTCTGGGGTGGAGCTGGGACAACTGTCTGCACCTTTAACAAGGATGTGAGGAACTTACCATCACTAAGAGCTAGCCTAAGATCCACTGGGACTGGGGCAGCCAGGTCCTACTCCCAGCCCAGCACTCCCCACACCCCGTGCACGATCCCCTAGCACCATAGCATAATTGATTATGATTAATATTCAGTCTGATTGAAAGATCATGGCTTTGCAGGCAGTGCCTAGACCAAGCTAGCCACCCCAGGGAGTCTTTTTTTTTTTTAAGATTTATTTATTTATGCATACAAGAACTGGGGTGCAAGCCAGAGGTGCAGGATGGGGGAATGAGAGGATTCACTAGAGACAGAGGGGAACAGAAGGCAGACTGAAATATGCTCCTGAGGGGAGCATCAGGGGAGAGGACGAGAGGTCTGCTGTGCCTTGTGGGTAGCTCCCTGGCCCAGGATAGGACTCCTGCTGCAGATAGCTTCATAACCCCTTGCGCCACCAGGGAGGCCCACCTCAGGGAGTCTTTAAGATGCGAGGGAAAAGGATGTTCCCACACAAAGCAGAACTGAGTTTGTCCTGGGATGTTCTACCTCCCTCCTCTCTCTGCCTGAGGCCAGTAGGTGGAAGCTTACAGATCCATTGTGAGTACAATAAGGCTATATTTGCTTAGGTGTTTGCATGTGTTCACCTTGACTTCAAAATAAAATCAGGAGGAAGGTATGCCTGACTGCCTGCATTTCTTTTTTTTGTTTGTTTTTTTCTGTGTAGAACTGGGGTGTAGGCCAGAGGTGAGGGGGAGGTGGTGGTGAGAGGATTTACCCGAGACTGAGTGGGAAGCAGAACAGGCAGATTGACTCAAATAAACTGCTAGGGGGAGCAGCTGGCAAGACAGGAGAGGTCTGCTGCACCATATGTGGGTTAGCTCCCTGGTGGGGTAACTCAGGCCATAGTTGCTGATAGCACCGAGACTTAACCCCTAAGCCACCAGGGAGGCCTCTGCCTACATTTCTAAGTAGATAGGTGGCTGGGTAGGCAGTTCACAGGTCAGGTTAGGATTAGGACAGGCCTCCACTGATAAAGGCATCTGACAAATTCTCCCTTTGGAGAACTCCTTTAGATGTTTCCACCTTCTGTTCTTTGAGTGAGAAGCAAAACTTGCTGTTAGTATTAAAACCCCAAATTGGTTACTGTTTCTAAAAGTGCCCTAATTTCTCCCTAAAGTCCTGAGTATTTTATTTAAGCTGTGTCCAGCCCCAGGAGTTCTAGGAGAAGCACAGGCTCAGAGGACCTGCCAGACCCCACCAACACTGGTCATATTATGCTGGGTGAACCTCAGAGAGTGTGTGTGTGTGTGTGTGTGTGTGTGTGTGTGTGTGTGAGAGAGAGAGAGAGAGAGAGAGAGAGAGAGAAGCACATTCATGCACACCCACACACAGAGGAAAAAATGTTTAATTTTGGAGGGGACATGGAGAGGCACTTGAGGCATGGAATATATAAAAAATTACAAAGAACCTCTCCACTTATGAATGAGAACATGAATTGTCTCTTGATTGGAAACCACTTCCCTCTGGTTGGCTAGTGATAACTAGCTTTATCTCTCTAGAAGGAAAGTTGGAGCTGAGAAGGGCCACCAAAGGCTGGGATGTTAGGCCATATGGAAGACTGGGCCCTCACTTGATGCATTTTCTAGATTGAGAGTCTGGGCCTTCACGTTCTTTGCTTCCTCCCTCCTGCTGCCAGCCTTTTGGTCTTCACTCTGTCCATTTGCAACTCAGCCACGGAAGAGTGAGCCAGACCAGTTAATTTGGGCTTCCTAAGTAGTTTTTGATAAAGAAGTAAGCGGGAGAAGGGATGGCTAAAATTAGATTTTTAAAATGATCTGTGAATTTAATTTGTCACTTAGGTGTATTATCTGCAGCTGCCCTTGATAACTGGAAATAGATTGAAAGCTGCCAGCAGCCAGAGCAGGGCGGGAACTGCTGTGTGAACAGGGAGTGGCTGAGTGTGGGGCCTTCGGCAAAACAGCAGAGATGCTTTCTGCAGTGGTACCAAGAGTAAAAGTTGTACAGAGGGCCTCCCTGGTGGCGCAGTGGTTGAGCGCTGGGTTGCGAAGCTGCCCGCAGCCTCTGTGGCGCCGGTTCGATCCCCAGCTGCTCCCCGGCCACCGGAGGAGGGTCCCACATGGCGCGCAGACCTCTCCTGCCGCCCGCTGCTCCCCTCAGCAGTGTACTTCGGTCCTTCTGCCTGCTCTGCTCCCCGCTCTGGCTCTGGTGAATTCTCTCACCCTCCCGCGCTTCTGACTGTACCCAGTGCTTGTATAAACAAAACAAACAAATAAAGAAAGAAAGAAAGAAAACATGCCTCTATAAAAAAAAAATAAAAAAATAAAAAAGTTGTACAGAAAGAAAAGATACTATAGAAGGAGTGATTCTTTTTAATCCAATTTTTTCTGAACCCAAAGGAATTTGGGCCTCCCTGGTGGCGCAAGGGGTTAAGACGCAACCGATGAAGCTGTTCGCAGCCACTGCAGCACGACTTCAATCCCTGGCCAGGGAGCTACCCACATGGCTCAGCAGACCTCTCCTGATTGCCCGCTGATCCCCTCAGCAGTATATTTCAGTCAGTCTGCCTGTTCCATTCCCCACTCTGTCTCTGGTGAATCCTCTCACCCTCCACACCTCTGGCCTGTGCCCCAGCTTTTGTATGCATAAAATAAAATAAATCTTAAAAAAAATAAAACCAAAGGAATTTATATTGTTTTAAGTGACACTGACCCACTTTCTAAGACTCAGGGCTTTGCTCTCACTGTTGGATCAGAGGTGCCTTTGCTTGAGACCTCATTTTTAAAAAAAAGGTTATTTATGCATACAAGAGCTGCCGTACAGGCCAGAGATGTGGGGGTAGGGAGGTGAGAGGATCCACCAGAGACAGAGTGGGGAACAGACTGACTGAAATACACTGCTGAGGGGAGCAGTGGGCGAATCAGGAGAGGCCTGCTGCGCCATGTGGGTAGCTCCCTGGTTGGCCGGGGATCGAACTTGTGCTGCAGAGGCTGAGGACAGCTTCATAGTGCGGTACTTAACCCCTTGTGCCACCAGGGAGGCCCTTGAGACCTCATTTGAAGTCAATGTCCTCTCTCATATGTGTTCTTTATTTCCAGAAGCCTTTTTCATAGAAGCATCGTGAAGGAAAGAATTTTTTGAACTATCTTTTGTTCCCAGTTACATCTCCCAGAACTTAAAACAGTGCCTAGCACAGAAAATGCGTTCAATAAACATTTGCTGAATGAATGACTAAAGAAATGAGTGATGAACTTCACGAACAAATGAGAAAACTAAGGGAGAAGGAGACTAACTCCCCAGGCCAGGTTGTGGCTTATTCTCTCGCAGTTGCAGATAACAGAGGATTTGAACAAACTTGCAAAGAGGGAAGTGTTAGAAGGACTCAGAAGAGTTTCGGAGACTGGGGGTCTTCAGAGGCTGCCCAGGCATCTGTGGCTCCTCTTCCCTTCCCCTCTCCCTTTTCTGTGCTCGGCTTCCCTCTCACTGGCCTCTGGGGACCAGCTCCTTGTGGTGAGAAACAGGAAGCCCAGTTTCCAAGTTAACAGGCGACATAGTCTTCCAGCCACAGGAAATGACCCTGAATCTCTCTGGTCCTTGTTTCGAATTCCACTCGTGGTCACTGGGGCAAAAATCTCCCCACCATTCTTTTTTTTTTTTTTTAAGATTTATTTATTTATGCATACAAGAACTGGGGTACAGGCCAGAGGTGTGTGTGGGGGAGGGAGGTGAGAGGATTCACCAGAGACAGAATGGAGAGCAGAACAAGCACATCTACTGAAATACACTGCTGAGGGGAGCAGCAGGTAAGGCAGGAGAGGTCTGCCGTGCCATGTGGGTAGCTCCTTGGCCAGTGGGGATCAACTCATGCTGCAGTGGCTGCCAATTGCTTGACTGTGCTGTCTTTAACCCCTGCGCCACCAGGGAGGCCCTCCCCATCATTCTTGAAAGGGGTTCAAGTCAGTGAAGCAGAGAATCCGTCCTGGCAGGATGAGTTGTTCCTTCCTCCTGGATTTTTCTGCTTGTGACTCAGAGAGCTCGTGAGCTAGCTAGTTCTTATGCATGGAGACCAGCAAAGGCTCAGAAGAGTCCTCTGTGGAAACGCATCATGATGAGTCAAGTCCTAAGACTTCTCAAATAGGTAAAAACTTGCGCCCACTAGTGTGAAGAGGAAGACTCCTGCTCCCTAAATAACTTCCAGGATGAGATAAATAGTCATTCATCTGTCTGACAGAGTTGAGGGAGGAAAGTTGCCGAGAAGCAGGAGACTAGAGAGATTCCATGACAACCCCCGCTGACACTCATCCCACAGCTAAAGTAACTTCTTACACTGAGCGCTATTTGAAGGGCCTATCAATCCTGCTCATGATTTAAAAATATCTTCTCTTTGACAGTATAACTCTACAGTATCGACGGCTTCCTTCATACTTTCCTAGTTCTTTAAGGTCTGAATACACGCCACAACGAGAGATCCGAGTGGGATGGGCTTGTGGGCTTTTCTGTCAGTTTTCCATAGCACCTCAGCAGCCACACAGCAAACAGAAACTTTACCTATGCTATGCCCTCTTTTGTCTGCTTTGATTTGTGCACACTCAAATCTTAGGCTGTGGACAGGAAGGACACATTTCCAAAGCAGGAAGTGATTCTACTCACGTTTGTGAGGCGCCGTTTTATTTTCTTTATTTTCTTTTTTTTTTAAGATTTATTTATTTATGCATACAAGAACTGGGGTACAGGCCAGAGGTTTGGAGAGTGAGAGGATTCAACAGAGACAGAGTGGGGAACAGAACAGCCAGACTGACTAAAACACACTGCTGAGGGGAGCAGTGGGAGAATCAGGAGAGGTCAGCTGTGCCATGTGGGTAGCTCCCTGGCCCGGGGATCGAACTCATGCTGCAGTGGCTGCATAGGTTGCATCTTAACCCCTTGCACCACCAGGGAGGCCCCTGTTTTATTTTATGACTGAGGGAACTAGGGACCAGGCCCCACGGCTCTGACTGGGCGACGCTCTGTCTGGCCACACGGTGTCGCTATTTAACCAGTTCTAGTTAAAATGTCAGTGGTTCAAAATTTGGGTGGCGAGGTCTTGCGGGTTGATGGTGGTCACATAATCTGGACAGCCGCCAAGCTGAGTTTCAGATTTTCTCATTTGGACAAATTGGGGCAGAATTAGGTTGATGGGTTTCTCTTTTTTTTTTTTCAATTATTATTTTAAAAAAATTGAGTGTGGAGTTAGTGCAGATAAAGTCCAGGAGCTGAGCTTCTGCTCCGCTGGACCACCAGGGAGAAGGGCCAGGAAGCTGCCCACGGGGCTTGTGTTTAGTCATGGGCAGATTTGTTTCCTGCTCCTACACAGTTTCCAGGAAGCCGACTACTTTGCAAGCTTGAAGGCTATCATTAGAGAGGCGGGGAATAATTATAGTTACCACTTAACGAGGGCCTACTGTACCCTGCTGCTTTACATGTATATATTTCTTCCAGTAACTCTGCCAGGTATGCATTGCTATCCAGGTGTTACACACGGGAAAACTATGACTTAGAGACATGAAGTAACAGCTGGTACTGGAAGCCGACTCCAGAGCTCTTTCTGGTCTCTCAGTCCATTTCTGGATAATTACAGAATCTGGTCACCTGAAGTCAGAGGCACTC